TTTTCGATCTGCATTTCGATCTGCATTTCGATTTGCATCTCACTATCGGTCTCACTATCGATCCCACGGTCGATCTCACCATCGACCTTACTATCGATCTCACTTGATCGATCTCACCATCGGTCTCACTCGATCGATTTCACTGTCGATCTCACTCTCGATCTCGTTTTCGATCCCCCTATCGATCTCACAATCGATATCACTCCATCGATCTCACTATCGATCTCACTATCGATATCATTCCATCGATCTCACTATCGATATCACTATCGATCTCTCTATCGATCTCACTCGATCGATCTCACTATCGATCTTACTCATTCGATCCCACCATAGATCCCACTATTGCTCTCACTATCGATCCCACAATCGATCTCACCATCGATCTCACTCGATCGATCTCGCTATCGATCTCTCTATCAATTTCACAATCGATCTCACAATCGATCTCAATATCGGTCTCACTATCGTTTTCGCACCAACGGGACACCGGGACACCATCGGGACACCGGCGGGACACCGGCTGGACACCGCGCGGCCCCGTTTGCCGGTCGGGAAACATTTGGTCGGGCAGCGCCTCAGCAGGAGACTTACCGGGACACCGGCGGGACACCGCGCGGTCCCTTTTGCCGGGGGGGGAATCATCTGGTCCGGCCGCGCTTCAGCCACAGGAGACTTTCCTCTCGCCCGCCCACGCAGCTTCGCCTCGCCCGCACGCACCGCACGCACGAACACGAAACCGAAACTGATTTCCCGGTGGGGGGCTCTCCGTTCCACTTCGATCTCACCCCCCAACATCCGATACAGAAACTCCCGATCAACCGCGGAGCGGCGGGCTAGTACTCTTTCTGAGCCGCATTTCAGACCATGCATTGAGAGATGCGCACCTGATACGCGCCAGGCTGTTCCGAGAGACTGAATGCTAAGTAAGGCATCGTCTGGAGATTGGAACTGTTAGGCCAGCGGCAACGTCGCTGTTCTGGGCTGCGGCTGCTCCGTCGTGCGCGAACTTGTGGTCGAACAAATACAACAATCGACACTCGCATGCCTAACGGGATCCTGACATTCCTCGTCCTTGTCCACGGGCGCGGGCAGAATGTGTGCCCAGCGCCGCCGGGTGCAAGGGTTTCTTGTCCCTCTTCCCTCCCCCTTTTCCTCCTCCTCCTCCTCCTCCTCCTCCTCCTCTTCCTCCTCCTCCTCTTCCTCCTCCTCCTCCTCAATTACCTTTTCCGCCTCCTCCTCCTCCTCCTCCTCCTCCTCCTCCTCCTCTTTCCGATGGGTCCAATCATTCTCGTCCTTGTCTTCCAGGCGCGGCCGAGCAGAAAAACGAAGCACGATCAAGGATGCGTTCTGGCGGCCTCCGTCAGGATGTCAGCGGTCAGGCCGCTGGCTTCGTGCAGTTCCACGATGACCTTCCAGCCAGCACTATCGGCCCAAGAGGACAGTGAATGCCACGCGCGCGAGCAAACATACTTCCCAAAAATGTGCACCACCCGCGCTGGCGCGCGACGTTGCCCGAATGGCTCTACCAAAGTCGATTCGGCCAAAGTTTCGCCCATCTCTGCGTGTGGAAATGGAAACGGACAGGCCTTTTCCTCTTCCTCCTCCACCGCCCCATCCTCCTCGCAGTCGGGCTGCGCGCGCGATTCATCGCCGCCCGACACCTGGCAAAATCATCATTTGAAGTTGTTCCATCGCTCTTCCTCTGCGATTTCAGAGTTCCCCGAGAAGTCCCCCAAGAGCCCCCCCAACAGAGCCTAATAGGCCCTAATGAGCCCCAAGAAAGGCTCAACAGCGCCAGCGTCGTCGCGCCGCCGTTGTCAACCCCCTTCAGGGTCGGCGGCACCGGCCGCCAAGGCCATCGGGCATTCGCCAGAGAATCGCTACTTCCGACGAAGGCGGGTCTGAATGATATTGGTACGTCATGGGTCTCAAACTTATGATGGATCCGCTAAACAGTAATATGGACGCACGCGAATGGCGAGCACAGAGATGAGAATATATATATATATATAATATATATATATATATATATATATAAATAAATATTTATGTATATATATATATACATATATATAATATAGATATAGCAACAAAATCGTAAGGCACAACTCCCTTACCTCGCTATTTCCAACGCGCGCGAAGCTCGCTCGCGCGCCACCTGTTTGGTCCAACGCAGCTGCAGGCGCCGGCGGCAAGGGGGCGGCGGCGCAGAGCGAGCGGGGACAGAGCAAGAACTACACCACCCGCGGCGGACCGCGTAGACCCAAGCCACCGACCCAGCCAAGAGGGCTCCGCGGCTTCCTGGCACTCCGAAGGCACATTGGCCCTCACCTGGCGCACGCCCCAGAAAAGGCTTCGGGCACACGGGGGGGGGCCGACAATTCCGCCGGAACTCTCGTTGGGCATGGTCGAAGCGGGCTAGCGTTCCCCACAAATACATCACTCATGCTCAGTAGTGAACGCAGGAGTCCAGGATCTCCGACGCTGAGCCTTCATCAGCAGCGCTTCTTCACCTCGCACGTTTCGAAGTGCGTCCCCCACTCTCGTTGTCAGGATTATTCTACGACCACCATTTCTATTTCTATCGCAGTCCCGTCCGCCAACGCGCTCGTCATCATCATGCTGGCGCTTGCGATCCCAGCGCCGATGCTGGTCGCGCCGGCAACTTTCTCGCGTCAAGCAGCTGCTCGACGCGCCACTCCCCGTTTTCCTCTGATGCTGCGCTTGCTTTCGCCGCGGTGCCGTTCCTGTCCACGACGGCGTCTTCGCTTGCGCGATCCCCCGCTGGTCTTTCCGGCTCTTGCTCCTCGGCCTCGCCTTCTCCTCCTGCGCGGGCCCCCGGGGCGCCCTCCGCGCGCGCCCTCGCGCAAGACGCGCCCGTCGCGCGTGGCAGCCGGCGACGGCTCATCTACAGCAGCCGCCGCGGGGGCGCCCGCCGGGAGCGGCGGCCGCCGCGGGCCGCCGCGCCGGCGGCGTGGGAGGGGGCGGGGGGACTGTAGAACCATTCCTATAGGACGCATAGGTGCGGGGGCAGCAGCTAAGCCGCCGCCCGCAGCTCACCTAGGCCCCTTCCGTTTCGCTGCAATCGAACCCCTCGCCTGGATCCCCGCGACTGGGCCCTGGAAAGGCTCCTCAATTGGCTCGCCCGCATCCGTTGAAGGGCTCGGAAGAGCGGTCCGATGGGGCGACTCCACTTGCGTAGCAGCCGTTTCAGCATGTTGAATTTGGCGAGCAGCGGGGACCCATCGCCAGCTAAGCCGACATCAGGGACGCCACGGTCACCGAATAAACGCGACATACCGACAGCAACAATCGCATTTTGTTGCCCGCTGTCCGTGCTTCTCAATCAAATTGATCCGCGCGCTTTTGCGCTCGCGCTGCAATGGTTCTGGACATTGGATACGATGAGAAAGGTCTCCCATCGCATTCTGGACGGGCCAAGGATTCACACTAATCTCACGCATCTCAATATTGAGGCCGAACCCCACTGCCGCAAGCATTGTTTCGAACAGGTCTGAAGCTTCGAATGGTGCCCCTTATCTTCAGGTCGAGTACAGTAGGGCCCATCCTCATTTGATCAGGGCAATGCTCAAACCTGTTTCCGTCGAGGCTCGCTCTCCAAATGTCCTAGGGCAGTCTGCGCATCAGACGAGCGTGCGACTCGCCGTGCGTGAACGCATATTCCATCACATGCTTACGGAATATATTCATCAATCCTCACTCCTTCCCAGCACCAGACATCGATTACAATCTGCTCGAAACCAGCTTCTCTCTTTGACACGCCCCTGCACGAGAAAGCGTTCGACGGCTTTGCAGACGGGCAAACGCATCAGCATAAAACCAGAAACGCTCGATTATCATCGCGGTCGAAAAACTGCGCACATAATATTGAAGGCAAAGAAAACAATACATGTCTATGTCAGAGGCGCGCTGCAGCACGGGCCCAAAACTACAGCGATGGAGCCTCAACGTCTCTTCGCATCGATTCCACAGCAAGCTAGAATCATCAATCCCCACTCCTTCCCAGCACCAGACATCGATTACAATCTGCTCGAAACCTGCTTCTCTCATTGACACGCCCCTGCACGAGAAGGCGTCCGACGGCTTTGCAGACGGGCAAACGCATCAGCATAACACGATAAACGCTCGATTAGCACCACGGTCGAACAAAAAAACTGTGCGCGCAGAATACTGAAGACATGGACTACAATGCATGTCTATGCCAGAGGCACGCTGCAGCGCAGGTGGGTTCGTGGGGGCCCAAGACTACAGCGATGGAGCCTCAACGTCTCTTCGTATCGATTCCACAACAAGCTAGAATCATCAATCCTCACTCCTGCCCAGCACCAGGCATCGATTAAAATCTGCTCGAAACCTGCTTCTCTCATTGACACGCTCCTGCACGAGAAAGCGTTCGACGGCTTTGCAGGCGGGCAAACGCATCAGCGTAAAACGATCGCAGTGATGTACATCAAGATAAACGCTCGAATAGAACCATAATTCGCGCCATAAGTGCGACCCTGGCGTAGCGTCTAATTAGACAACTCAAGATGTTCAAGAGGACCTCATCAGGCTGGACATCTGTGCCCACGCCCGGGTGCCAACACTCTGCTGCATACTACTCATCTTAGAAAACTGCTCAAGAATACGAGAGTGCTTCTCATACCGAACAACTGACGCATGGCTCTTCCTGTGTCCTCGCTGCTGCGCCTCCTGAAGCGCCAGGCGGTTTTGCAATCTGTCCTGTGACGGCCCACTATGGCGGACCGCACGTGGGCACCCATTGAGGGCGTTGAGCCCGAGCTCCTGGGAGGCCAGATTGTTTTTCGCACTGTGGCAAGGAGGCGCGAAACAAGCGATCGTGGGGGAGCTGGGCACGATGATGCAGCCGCTTCAGGTGACCCCTCACCCAGCGGCGGCTCCCCACGCCGACCCAGATGCCCGCGCCCCTGAGCCCCGTCTGCGTGGTCTTCTCCCGCTCCGAGTCGCCAAGCTGCCTGGGGCTGCGGCGGCGCGATGTTGACCTTGATCGGGCTGAGCGCCTCCGACGGCCTCATGCACCCGTCGTGCTGCAGCACCACCACGCACGCGGACTCCTTGCGGTCGTTGGAGAGCATCCAGTTCACCAGCAGCCCCATCGCTGCCTCTGGGAGGCCGTCTCGAACTTGGCCTGGGGCTCGTTTCTCCCAGCTGGCGAAAGCATTGCGGCCCTCTGGGAGCAGGTTGCACTTCTCCGAGCCCTTCGTCCTCAGCAAGATCCAGGCGCTCCTGAGGCATCGCCCCAAAGCGGGGCCCTCGCCCGCCCGGAACTTCTACGGTGCATGTGTCCAGCAGGCGGCATTTCGTCTTGACCCTGCTCTCGAACTTCTCGAGGCTCGCCCTGTGCGCCTTCAGCGCTGGCGCGGTCGCGGTGGCCAGTCTGAGCAGCTGCCTCGCAGGGGCCGCGAGCTGCGGCTCGGCAAGCCGATGCGCTGCCTCTCGGCGCCTGGCGCGCTTGTCCCTCTGCGACTGCTTCTTTGGCCCGCTCCGTGCCAGCTTGCCCGAAGAACGCCCCGTGCTCGACGTCGTAGGTCGCGCCACCCCCGGGCCGCGTCGCCGCCCTATGCGCCGAGATCGCCGGCCCCAGGCTCGTCTGCATTGACGCGCGGGCGAAGCGGCTGACTGCGACCATCACGAGGCCCCCGCATCCAGGCCTGGACCCACTCTGGCTCCAAGGGCGAGCCACGGGTCCCAAACTCCCAAGCTTCTTGAGCCACAGCGCCGGCTAAGGCCCCACACAGAGCAGCAGGGTAACGGCCAAAAAGTTTCGTCCGAAGAACCCAACGGCATGCCCCGTCATCCCCCTTTACTCTGATACGACCTACCAGTGGTACGTGTACATGTTGCTAATTACTTTTCACGGCGATCTGGTCGAAGTACTGCGAGTTTGTCATGACATATGTTGGTTTATTGTGGTCTGCGTTGAACATGCACATGTCGAACGCGACGAGGCGGACCTTCGGTGGCCCCAGGAGACCTGCTTCGGGAGGAAGCTGCCAGAGTCTGCTCGACCGAGGATTCTCCAGAGTAAAGGTAACCCCACATCGTGCACAGTTGGCCGCTAGCTGGTTGGCGCAGAGACGCCTGCACGCGGCGCCCATGGCCCACCAGCGGCCGCGGCCCGTGTCGAAGCAGCAGCAGGTCACCACGTTGTCGACCAAATGCAGGCCACGACGCCCTCGAAGATGACTGCTGCGAGCGCAGCGCCTCGCACCATCCAGAGCGGCGCGCGCCTCCTTCACATTGATGTGTTCCTCAGGCCAGGCCCAGAGACCGCAGGTCGCTGGGGCCAAAGCTGAGCGATCGGCCCAGATCTTGGAAACCGGCGGGAAGGTTGCAGGGTTCTCCACCTCCGCGCCTCGACGAAGACGAAGCCGGGCGCGGCGTGGCGCCTTGCCGGCGCAGATCGCCCGGCGCGCCCGGCGGGCGAAGGCGGTGTCTGCGCCGGCGGGCGCCCCTACCACCTGGCCCTGCACCTCCGCGTCGGCGAAGATCTGCTCGTCGGGGTCCGCGGGGTCGGTGTCGCCCACGTGCCCCCGCGCCTGCTCCCGCGCGAAACCGGTCGTGACGAACTGGCGCTCGGGCTCGGGCTCCGCCCCCATAAACCGCCACCTCTCGCAAAACCGCATCTCGTTCAGGATGAGGTCCGAGTCGGCTAGGCGGCACAAGAGCCCGCGCCTCTCGGTCGAGCTGTCGGAGACGCGCACCACCTCTGAGAGCGGCATGGCCAGGTCCACGCAAGCAAAGAAGATCAGGCCCTGCACCGCCCATATCTCGCGCATCAAGACTAAGTCGATGGCCACGTGTCGCTCCCGCCGAACATCTAGTCGATGGTAAACCTCTTGCAAGATGGCCATCAGCGGGCGTCTCAACCTCATCATGTTGATCGCGTGCCCGAGCCAGACCTCCAAGTCGCCGCTCCGAACGTACTCGCGGCGCCTGAGAGCCTGCGTGGCGGCCCAGAACCTCCACGGCCTGTCGGGGGCGCGCCTCAGCTCCAGCCGCCCCATGTCCAGGACCAAGCCCAGCGACCCCACCAGCCTGCCAACCTCAGGAGGGCGCAGCGAGAGGCCCTCTAGCTTCGCGACCTGCTCCACTTTCTCCAAACAGCGCGCGGCTCTGGGGGGCCTCGCAGCGACCGCGGTCACGTTGTCCACGCACGCGCCACCCAGCCCCAGGGAACCCCACCCTGTCGGAATAGGAGAGCGATCCCGCATTTCCGCGAAACCTGCGTCTGAAAGACAACTCTCGGTGCCCTCGTTGCAGAGGTAGAGGGCCCACGCCCAGCCCATGCACATCGCTTCGAAAACGACCTCCAGCTCCTCCGAGGGGCCCCCCTCGTCGTAACCCTTGAGATCATGATCCCATACTTCTTGATCTGTCAGTCCTTCGCCTTGACCTTGTGGCCCAGTCCGAACCAGCTCGCCACCTCCATCACTGAATGCTGAAAAAAAGCGCCCTTCACATCAATGGCGCCCGCGTCCAAATTCACCTCGCCAACGGCCGTCTCCCAAGAGCTCACGTCGGTCAGGTCAAGCTCGGCCAAGGCGTCGACGCCGCCCAGCTATGCCTCGGGCGGCCTGCGGCGCAAGGCATTCGGGACCCTCGAATCGCATATCAGCATGATGTTTCCGTCCTTCTTGCGAACAAAGAATAAGCCCACGCGGGCCCCCGCCTTCCTCCTCGCCGAGCAGAGCCGAGCCCAATGCAAAGCCTCAAGCAGATGAGCGCGCGCGCGCGAGCTTCGCGGCGTAGACCGGGGCCCCAGCGCGGGGTGCTCAACCCGCCCTCCGCCCGAGGTCTCTCGATATCCCCCGCGCTCCGCTCGACGCGTCTCTCGCCGTGCTTCAAAAACCCGGCCCCCGCCGGCGGCGGCGCCCCCGCTGCGCCCTTCGGTTTCGCGTCGCCCCCCAGGACCCTCAGCTTCTCGAAGGCGCGGCTCGCCAAGTGCCGCGGTAGCTTTCCATGGACTGACGTGGTCTTGAGAATGCGCCGAAGCGCGCCCACGTAGTCCAGATCCCCCGTCTCGCCCCCGCCCACCGCGGTCGCCCTAGATGACCTCCGGGCAATCACGCCGAGCACGTCCGACAGGGCCGGCATGGGCAGGTGCCCTCTTCAAGTCGCCAGCGCGCGCGGCGGCGAGGTAGTTCAGCGCGCGAGTCGCCCCCATTGCTCGCCCCTGCCGCTTAGAGCCTCCAGGTCGGAGGCGATCGCGCAGCAAAACTGCGGGTTCGGGAAGCGGAAAAAGATCCCCATGCCCCCCCCCCTGGCACAAGACGGCGAGGACCAACAAACATCACTGCCGGGCCCTTCGCGTAGAAGCGGCGCCCCTCAGCTCTCAGAAAATGCGGGCCAAAGTCACGAGCTCCGACCACCACGAGGTAACATCCGCCGCTCTGCGGTTGATCGGGAGTTTCTGCATATATAGAAGAAGGGGCGCGCGCTTCTGGGCGAGAGGGAAACGACCGAGAGAAGAAGGGGCGGCCGCCCCACAGGACCTCTCCATGGTGCCGGAAGCCCATCAGGGCTCCCTCAGGGCCCCTCAGTCGGCATATCCAGGCGTGTTATGCAGTCAGGTCGTCCGTCCGGAAACGGTGCCGGAGGCCGCTCTGGGCTCCTCTGGGCATCCCCCCCGGGGCCCGTTTTGTGAGGATGTCTCAGGCGAGGGCGCCGGTTTGGGATTCGTCACCGGATCCAGCGGATCCAGCGGATCCAGCGGATCCGTCCGGAAACGGTGCCGGAGGCCGCTCTGGGCTCCTCTGGGCATCCCCCCCGGGGCCCGTTTTGTGAGGATGTCTCAGGCGAGGGCGCCGGTTTGGGATTCGTCACCGGATCCAGCGGATCCAGCGGATCCGTCCGGAAACGGTGCCGGAGGCCGCTCTGGGCTCCTCTGGGCATCCCCCCCCCCCCCGGGGCCCGTTTTGTGAGGCATGTCTCAGGCGAGGGCGCCGGTTTGGGATTCGTCACCGGATCCAGCGGATCCAGCGGATCCACCGGATCGTCCGGAAACGGTGCCGGATCTGGGCAGCGGATCCAGCGGATCCGTCCGGAAACGGTGCCGGAGGCCGCTCTGGGCTCCTCTGGGCATCCCCCCCGGGGCCCGTTTTGTGAGGATGTCTCAGGCGAGGGCGCCGGTTTGGGATTCGTCACCGGATCCAGCGGATCCAGCGGATCCAGCGGATCCGTCCGGAAACGGTGCCGGAGGCCGCTCTGGGCTCCTCTGGGCACCCCCCCGGGGCCCGTTTTGTGAGGATGTCTCAGGCGAGGGCGCCGGTTTGGGATTCGTCACCGGATCCAGCGGATCCAGCGGATCCAGCGGATCCGTCCGGAAACGGTGCCGGAGGCCGCTCTGGGCTCCTCTGGGCATCCCCCCCGGGGCCCGTTTTGGGAGGATGTCTCAGGCGAGGGCGCCGGTTTGGGATTCGTCACCGGATCCAGCGGATCCAGCGGATCCGTCCGGAAACGTGCCGGAGGCCGCTCTGGGCTCCTCTGGGCATCCCCCCCGGGGCCCGTTTTGTGAGGATGTCTCAGGCGAGGGCGCCGGTTTGGGATTCGTCACCGGATCCAGCGGATCCAGCGGATCCAGCGGATCCGTCCGGAAACGGTGCCGGAGGCCGCTCTGGGCTCCTCTGGGCATCCCCCCCGGGGCCCGTTTTGTGAGGATGTCTCAGGCGAGGGCGCCGGTTTGGGATTCGTCACCGGATCCAGCGGATCCAGCGGATCCGTCCGGAAACGGTGCCGGAGGCCGCTCTGGGCTCCTCTGGGCATCCCCCCCGGGGCCCGTTTTGTGAGGATGTCTCAGGCGAGGGCGCCGGTTTGGGATTCGTCACCGGATCCAGCGGATCCAGCGGATCCGTCCGGAAACGGTGCCGGAGGCCGCTCTGGGCTCCTCTGGGCATCCCCCCCGGGGCCCGTTTTGTGAGGATGTCTCAGGCGAGGGCGCCGGTTTGGGATTCGTCACCGGATCCAGCGGATCCAGCGGATCCAGCGGATCCGTCCGGAAACGGTGCCGGAGGCCGCTCTGGGCTCCTCTGGGCATCCCCCCCGGGGCCCGTTTTGTGAGGATGTCTCAGGCGAGGGCGCCGGTTTGGGATTCGTCACCGGATCCAGCGGATCCAGCGGATCCGTCCGGAAACGGTGCCGGAGGCCGCTCTGGGCTCCTCTGGGCATCCCCCCCGGGGCCCGTTTTGTGAGGATGTCTCAGGCGAGGGCGCCGGTTTGGGATTCGTCACCGGATCCAGCGGATCCAGCGGATCCAGCGGATCCGTCCGGAAACGGTGCCGGAGGCCGCTCTGGGCTCCTCTGGGCATCCCCCCCGGGGCCCGTTTTGTGAGGATGTCTCAGGCGAGGGCGCCGGTTTGGGATTCGTCACCGGATCCAGCGGATCCAGCGGATCCAGCGGATCCGTCCGGAAACGGTGCCGGAGGCCGCTCTGGGC